TTCACGTACGCGTAAAATACTATAAAATACTGCACTTCTTTACGATAGTCATTTGTCTTAATCAACTAATATATTGACTTTTTTTACCCCAAACGCTGACAAGCTATGACTCGTGGATTTAGTGGAAATATAGTTCCGCATCGACCAGTTTATTGAAGGCACATAGGTTTGCAAATCTCTCACCATTTTCGTTCCTTTCTCCCAGTCCATGTCGTCCCATGATATCTTCATATCCAGTGTTGTCCGTTCCAACCTTGGCATTGAAATCTCCCATCAGCATGGTCAGGTCCTTTGTTGGGCACTTCTCGACGATTGACTGCAGCCTATCGTATAATTGATCTTTAGCGCCTTTATTGTAGTCGTTGGTAGGCGCATAGCATTGAATGACGTTCATTGAAATGCCCTCTTTCTTCGTTTTGAAAGAGGCTTTAATGATCCTTGTTCCATGAGATTCCCATCCTATAAGTGCATTTTGTGCTTGTTTGGACAGCATCAATGCACCTCATTGTGTATGTGGGGCATTTTCTTGTTTATGGCCGGAGTATAACAGAAGCTACCCTGAAGCTAGTCGTTGTTGTCCAACTTGCGTCCAATGTGTTTCACTGATCCCAAGCACCTCTAGGTTGTATCTTCTCATTTCTGCAGCAATTTGGAAGGCTCTCCCGGTGTCCCACATTGTACGAACATTCCATGTACCTAAATAAATGGTTGCTCTGGTTGTCAGAAGGGGCATTGACCTCGTGACATCCGAAGGAACTCGGCTTTCATCACGAGGCGTCATAGTTCTTTTAAATGAAGACATTCTGACTCCCAGGGCAGAGTTAAAAGGTTTGAATTATTTTTTCTGGTTAGCGTTTTCTAACCAAGCAAGTTATTTTTCTATGGGATAGGGTCGCTAACCCCATGTCCAATCCCCCTCCTTTATCGGGGCTTGGGACCGTCAGTAGCCCACGGAGGGACTCCAGGCGGAGTTACTCAGTAATCAGCCCAAAATTTATCTAATTTGCAATAAGTCCATCTTTTCATGTTGGTGTTAAGGGTAATACCCGTTTGCCTGGATTAATGTTAGTGATCAAGGATTCGAACATGCAACCCATCAGTCAAAGGTTCAGTACTTTGACTGTTAAGTCAGTAGCGACCAAACCTTTTTCTACTTATCTCGGCTTATACTGCTGTATAATATCATATTATTTTAGTTTTTACTTCATTGGTCTGTAGGAACCACATAGTCATTGACATTTTACTGCTGTTTCGCATTCATCAGGGCTACTAGTAACTTGTAAGTTTAATAAGTCTGTATGATGTCCCAAATCTATAATGTTGATATAAGTTTATCACTTCACCTTTATTTCAGGTTTCTATTTTCAAATTATTTATTAACCTTTGAAATGTTTACTGTTATTGAAAAAGCTGTCGGCTAGTTTGTTATTGTATTTTGTAGTGTTGATTTGTTTCTTATGTATATTTGATTTTCCTCTCTACCTAGGTCAAGCAGCTGGAATAAGTAACAAGGTGCTCAAACTACGTCCAATTGGAGTAATCAAAGGTTAATCTGGTTTTTTGCTCCGGTCGATACTTTCTTCCCCTCCCAACTAAATCCATGCATTCAATACCTCTGTACACAAAATAAAATTGTTCTGTATACTATTGTTACTTTTTTGAACGGGAAAAATGTGATATTTTTAATTGTGTGATATTCACTGCCAAATAAAATTATTATTACTATTATCAAAGTATGTCTTATGCTTTCTGTTCGAGTATATTTAGTTAGTGATTGTTATTCTCATGTATTTTTATAGTGCTGTTTTTGTTGTATACTTGAAAATTTTACATTATCAGATTTCAACGAAGTTTATTCAACTTATTTTCCTTTCTACTGTCATAATGACTTTTTTTGAGTAAATATTTATGCTGTTCAGTGATTATGTTCAAATTAATTCACTGAATTGTAAACTATATTTAGTTGAAGAAATTGACAAAGATTCTATTTTGATGTGTTAGCTGGTTGGAAATGATTTAATTTAGTCGAAAATATTGTTCTCTTAATAGTTTTGTGAATTTTAGTCTGTTGTGAAGTAAAAATAAAGGGAAAAGAATCTTTTCCTATATTTGTGCCAGCTGATACTAAGTTTTTCCCACTATTATGTAAGACCATCTAGTAAAGTTTTTCATCGTTAACAAAACTAAATGCATGTTATAGATTATATTAATTCGAATTATATTTCGTTCTTAGGTAAGCTCTCGGATGATATGTTAAAGCATGACCATCGTTTACCGAGCAGTAGTATTTACGGTACTAATCAATCTGTTTATGAAGTAAAAACTGTAGCATTATCCCTAGACAATCATATCACTGTGAGATACGTGTTGACGTCGTTGAAAAATTACAGATATTAATAATTGTTCAAGCCAAATCATTGTGTAGATGAAATGGATGAAAAACAATTTTCGACTCAGCTTCATCTATAACTCCTGACTTCAGTTCTATGCTCAGATTCTTTATGTCTTTTAAATATGCTTTGTTCACCTAAGTTTTTCAAGATGGTAGTAATAAAAAAACACCATTCATTGAAATGGAACAAGGAGTGAGTGGTAGTTTTCTTCGCTTTCTGTTTGCTTTCGACTTATATTGTCTTTTGAAAATTTCTTTTATGAGTTGTAGTGAATTACGAGTTTGGATGTTGTTGGATCATTGTATTTCCGGATTTTGCTTCGGTTTGGGCAACCGGACAGTATCCTAGCCCTCACACAAATCGAACGATTTATGTGGCGCATATCTATTTAGTGCCTCCTTGTACCATTGTTTATTTGTTTAAATAAATAAAATAATAAATTTTGCAGCCACCGCAATAAATTCACATAATCTGTCGTATTTATCCAACATTTTAGTACGTTAATTAAATGAAGATGAAGATAAGACACTGGACGTTATAGAAATGTGAAATTTGAGAATCTTTTACCTTCTGGTAATAATACTATTACTAGCTACGATGTTTTTTGTCTATTGGTTTGTCTAATTATCAGTAGTGACATTGCATATTGAACAATAACCATTACTGACTAGATAAATATTTAAGTCATCACCACTATTAGGTAATGATTGCTTGATTACCTAAAATGCTCATCTCGCTAAGTAGTAGGATAAAAGTTATCAGTAGAGTCACGTCGTGAAATTTTTAATGTCAAATACCATTAATCTAGAGTGGTAACTTTCCATTTAATTTCCCTATTGTTCAAGAACTCAAGGCTGAAGTTTATTTACAGTAATCTAGGCTTCTGTTGTCATCTAGTTCTACACAGCCCATAAGGTTCTCAAGTACATATACCATAGCAGTTATGATCACTGGTAATAATCCCAACTTTGATTTAGTCTATGTGAAGCTTTTTTGAAGTGCGTGTACTTTAAATCCACTCAATAACTGTTGGTAGTGTTATCGAAGTCTACGTCGTACTGATGTATTATGGCAGCTTGATCTAATCCACATCCGTTCTAGGCTCTGCTCAGATCCTAAAATAAACTATCAGTTGATACTCCTATATTTCATTGTCTATGTTAGTTATGTCCAGTATATCCAGATTCACTTAGGTAAGCCATACGGATCTCTTGGATCACTACAGGTTTGCTAATAACTACAACTAACTTAAATCTTTTGATTAACGTATTGAGATTGAATTTAACTTTCTAACCTATCCTGTATTAAATTATACCTAAGGATTTACGTGTATAGAAGTCGTTTTCTGTCTAATAAATTAAATTGACTACTTTAGAAATCTCAATAACTGCGCTAACTCTCATGATATGACTGGAAATTTAATTTGATCTGGAATTTGTAGACTATGGTTACCAGACATCCGAAAGTTCATCTAAAGTTATCTTACCACTACATAAGTACTCTGTTTCCACGACATGATCACTCAAAAGTAAATAAATCAGAAAAATACTGTTGCCATTGATTATTACTGTTTCTGAAGGATTATCCATGCTCTGTCAGACCAATCATACATTGGTGAAATTTAGTTTGCAATTTCCAGCTAAAATGATTCTGTTTTATTGGTAAACTTGAAGAGTATCGAATTCAAAACTATTGTTCAGTCTTATATTGTGTTCTAATGTACACAGCCGAAATTTTCAATATTTTTCAAATAGAATTACACTAAATAGTGAAGTATTAATATAACATTTACTCTTAAGTATTATCTACAATACCATACTTTATTAACTAGTGATAAATATCTGAGCAGAATCGCTATATCAAATAAGTTTTACTACTAAATTGTAAATATTTCAATAGGCACATATTAATGAGCCCAGTTAAATTCTTGTCCTCTAGAATACTCGTATTATTGATGGGGAGAGAAAACAATGTTGTATACTACTGACATAAATGACTCTGATGTAGAATACCACCAGTCCATTGTCGATTAGGACTTCCATGATTTTATCCAAAAAGTGTATCGTAAACCTCATCCTATGATTTTATGTATCCAGCTCTTCTAATAATCTCAGAGTCTATTTTGATGGATTGTATTTAAGGGTCCCTGAAAGTGTAGCATTTATTCGTAGAGGAGTGTTTGGTTCGTTTAACTTTGGCGTACCTTAAAGCCTCTAGATTTCATCCAATCTTAGTCTTGTTCTTTTAGTTGTCCTGGTTTGATAAGCTAGGGTCCTATTACTTACTCTATCAATATCTCATTGTTTTTATCTAATCTATTATCGGTATTCTATTTTATTTCCATATGTCCTGGTTTTCTTACTGTTAGTAGGCCCTTATTGATATCCCTTTTTTAAGTTCTTTGTTTACCTGATCATTGATTGATAAAATGAAAGTGTTTAAAATCAAATATAAACTACCATTATTTATTTATTGAAGAACATCTCGTAGTGCGGTGTCATATTTGTGTTTGTTTGAAATAATAGGAATAAATTTCTTATTCATCGGTTTGTTTCCAAATGCTTCTTATTATTGGCAGTTAACTATTTTTGCCCTCTTTTTTATCAAGTTTAGGTATGAATATTCCAGATTCTGATGAAGATCTATTGGCCATCGATACTGAAAAATTAGAAAGTATACTTGAAAATCGAGATGAAGTTATTAATAATCAAACCATCCCAGAACTTATTCCAGATGAAACATATAATTTTTCAAAACAATTTTCACCGATAATTCGTCTTTATTCATCTACCATCTATGATCGTATTCATGCCGTATACTCAACAGAGTAAGTTTTTTATGGCTGTTTTTTGTTTGTTAAAGTAGGCAAGTCAAATTAACTACTTTAATTTATTTTAGCATATAATCTTTTTTTATACTGTCGGTTTTCATTTAATTCATCCTGTAATGACTATGAGAACTCTTTTGGTACTTAGTTGAACATCTTACTTGCTATACATTAGCAAATGTGGGTTAAAGGTTTTACTGATACCTTAAACTGAAATATATGTTTTTACAAAGATACCTTGCGTTACCACTGTGGTTTATGCTACTTAAGATGACAGTTATAAGTAGTATGTAGCATTAACAGAAAGTGGAATGCATGCCACCAGGAGATTGAGAAGATTCAGTTGAAGAGAATGGAATGGGAAACAGAAAGTAATTGTAATGAAAACAGAATTGAAAGAACCATGAAGCATGTTAAGAACAACTTATAGAAGATGTGCAAAATAATATATTTAATATATGATTTTCATATTTTACGAAAGCACTTTGTAATTTTGCATTGAATAATAAATTGGTTACCCCCACTAAGTCTTTGTTCGCTACATTACTGTTCTTTTTACTGAACATATCGCTTACAACCAATGAATAAGCACATTTTACATGTAATTGGCGTTCAAAATGCATAGTTCTACACATTAGTTGATAATCTGTCGTGAGATATTGTGTCACAACGTACTGATTGTACGTATTATGAAGCATATCTCTCCCAACAATAATTTTCTTTAAATCGGGAGACGGAAAAGCTTTGTGTTTTATTTGTAACCTAAGAAGTTGGCTAATACTACTATAAAAAACTTACTGACACCATTGAAAACTTATAAGTAACGAAAAGCTGTATCCTCCTAAAATTGAATTCGTCAACAAACCACACCAATCGATTCTATAAGGGGTTTATGGATTTATGTATATCATTCCAGCTGAATAAAAATCATCGTGATTATCATCAAATATTGTTCGTTAAAGTTAGTGATTTTCGATTGATTTCGCCATCACACAACGGGCGATTATCATTACCTGTTTTTGTGATTTCTCAAGTGTAAATAAATAACTAATTCTGCGTCATTTAATTTAATCAGTTCTACATTATTTAAACTGTAGAGCAGATGAACGTATAGCTAAAAAATACATTATTGTCGCACTTTGGATATATATATATATATATATATATATATATATATATATATATAATTTATTCATCAGTATACCGTCAGAAATTATGTGTGCATACAGTCTCAAAATAAGTCACAGTGCATGATACTTGGTATTTTGGTGCTCAATTTATTTAGAGTATTCTGATAACACATCAACTTGTTAGAATATTTATGTTGGAAATCAAAATAACATCCAAAAAATGTAATCAAGAGAACTAGTATTACCCAAACTATCTTTGATAGTGTGGTAGATTCAATGTAAGTGCAGATTGCTTTTAGATATACTGAGAAGATTAAGGATTCAGATGGATAAGATTTCAGTATTTTTAAGAATTCATCTCTGTTCAGTTTTAGTGAAAACGCAGACCGATCTGGAACAAATTAAACCCAGTGTCTGCCTACATTTGACTAGTATACATAATTTAAGTGTATTAATTATCAGTGAATTTTTAGTCATTTTTGCAGATTTCTGCCAACGATTTGAGTTTCAATAACTTACTTTTTATACTGATTAGTTTGTAAGCCATTTAGCCTTTCATTTAACTAAACTGTTATATATGAAGACAGTTATTCAATGTTTATAAGATGACTCAGTCGTCTATCATCACTGTAGAACATGGAATAGATGTGAGTCGGTCTAGATTGCCTTACAATATTATCACGACGGGATAAAATAAATAAGATCAATAGCAAAAACGATCGCAGTAATAGTGATAAAGATCGAATATTGAGAAAATGTTTCTAAAAGGTTGGTAATGTATATATAAAGGAATGCTGAAAGTTGACATTGAGAGGAAGATAAAAAGTGGATGAATGAGTTCAATTTTGAATGATTTTCAAGCAAGTCACTCAAAGTATTCAACTCCTGATCAGAGTCATCACACTGACACCAACTAAGTATTCTTCTGCTAACATGACTTAGACGGACAGTCACTTACTTTGCATAATGATGTCGTACCTTGGTTTGACCACCCTTAGTTTTCTTACAACCTACTCCTACACCAGTAAGCATCTCGTTGAATTAAGCAGTGGCTAGATACTTGTAATAGGTTTCCTAATCACCTCCGTTGATGAAGGTTCACTACATCAACTGATTTGATCTCTTCTTATAGTACCCTCTCCCGACCGTAGCTTCTGCCTTGACGCGGTGGTCGGGCTTTCCTATCTTGATGACCTAACCGAGCTATATTGGTTGGAACATATGTTCCTGTAGATTCTACCATGCTAAGTATGTCGATTGGAAAACGGTAATACTAAAAGAAGCAACTCAAGGTCTGAGGGTGAAGTCGTACTGCTGACTGTAGAGGGGTGTGACAGCAGTAAGGTGTTTCCCTCGAACAACTAGCATCTGCAGCGATGCTACCTTCTCACAAGGAAGAGTGGGGTTAAAAAGTTCGACCATAAAAATGTCACACCTCACGGATCTCCGTCTCCGGTGATAAGACCCTTTGAAGAACGGAGCTAACACGTTTAAAACCTCTCACAAACGGCCGTCCGTGACCGGCTTCAAGCAGTTGTCCCTTGGGCTCTGCGGTCACACTTCCAGGTCGTTAAAACCAACATTAATTCACCTTCTTTTCCAGGTTCCTCAAAAATACCCTTACACGGTGTGGGCAGCCGGAAAGTGATATCAGCCCTCATACCTGTAACAGCACTCGTGACCAAGTTGGTCACATTCACATCCTTCCTACACTTCCTAGTACCTCTCTTATTTCCACGACTAACCCTTTATCACCTCGCACCGCTAGTGCAAACGATTCGAGTACGCGGAACGTTATCCCTAGTCTCCTGAAATCACGCTCTAAACAACACGTAGGAGCTTTTAACGTTCGAACACTGTGCCAAATAGGACAACAGGCTTCCTTAGCTAGGACTTGAGAGTCTCGCGCCATCGATGTGTGCTGCGTCTTCGAAACGCGCATACAGGATCTGAGTAGCGTCATTCATTTGACCTCAGCATGTCAAAGTAAAGAACCAACTCGATTCACAATTCGTGTATCTGGAAGCCCTGCTGCTGCTTCTTGTGGCCTTGCCGGCATAGGTATAGCATTGTGTCCTAGTGCAGAACTAGCTCTCTTAGACTGGACCCCAGTAGACAGTCGTTTGTGCGCTATCCGACTAAACGGAACAATAAGGACTCCGAAAGATAGCGACACTCGTCGTTGCCTCTTCGTCGTCTCTGCCTACTCTCCCATTGACTGCAGCTCAGATGATGCAAAAGATGAGTTTTACAAAAAGCTTTCCGATCTTCTCCGAAAATCTAGGCGCTCTGATGTAGTAATAGTGGCTGGTGACTTTAATGCTCAAGTAGGTAAACTAAGCGAAAGAGAAAGACACCTGGGTGGATCTTATAGTGTTGTGGCTCAAAGAAACAGATAATGGCGACCGTCTGTTGCAGCTATGCTCAGATAACCGCCTCTTTCTTGCAAATACTAACTTTAAGCATAAGGAAAAACATCTTTTAACATGGCGACCCCCTAATTCGTTCCAACGTTGGACCCAAATAGATCACATCGCTATCAGCCACCGATAGAGGGGCTAGATAGAAGACTATCGCTCATTCTGGAGCACATGCTTAGATTCAGATCATGCTTTAGTACGAGCGCGTATTTGCCTGCGTCTTACTGAACGTAGGAAAGACGCTGCAAGGAAACCTCTTAGGGTCCTATTTATTGATAGTCAAGCTAAGAGTATATTTCAGGAACAACTAGAAAAACAGTTAGGCAGCCATGTATGTGATGCTCACCCTGAGGCAGCATGGAATGATATCCGAAAAGCTGTGGAAACAGCAGTGATATCTGCTAGTACGGTAAACCACAAAGTTAGTGAGAAACACTGGATCACAGCTGCAGCTACCTCACTGATAAATGCTCGAAAACTCATTCCACCTGGCTCTGAACATAACGAAGAGCGGAGTTAGTTTAAGCCCAAGCTGACAAGAAGACTACGCAATGATCGTGAACAGTGATGGTTGGCGAAAGCAAGAGAGATGGAAAAGGCAGCGGCGATAGGTAATAGCAGACAATTGTTCAGACTTGGAACTGGACGTGATCCCATCTGACTGGTCTCAATCACTGATCGTGCCAGTCTATAAGAAAGGAAAAACGTCCTCTTGTGACAATCGCAGAGGAATCAGTTTGAAAAATATAGTGTCTTAAATATTAGCTTCAATAATACTTCAACGCCTAACTAAAGCTTGTCAAGAGCAGACTAGAGAAAACCAGGCTGGTTTTCGACCTGGACGTGGTTGCATAAATCAGATATTCACACTACGTCAGGTTCTAGAACACAGACACACATTCAGACGCCCCACAATAGTATTATATATCGACCTTAAGACGGCATTTGACTCTGGTGATCATGAGGTTCTATGACAGTGTTTGTCACTGAAAAGAGTACCAAAGAAGTACATTAACCTTATAAAGGCTCTCTACTGGAACACAACTGGTAGAGTGAGAGCTTATGGCGAACTGTCATCAGAATTGATTACCTTAAGTGGTGTTCGTCAGGGCTGTCCACTCTCTCCATTTTAGTTTAAATTTGTCGTTGACGTGCTTTTAGCAATAACACTTTCCTCAACTAAATTTCCAGGAGTTGAACTTGTACCGGGGGACTTACTTGTCGACCTCGAATATGTCGATGACATAGTTCTATTTGGTGAAGACATTTACTGTTGTAACGTATGACTGCAGGTTTAATGCGCAGCGTTTATATCGGTCGATTCAGTGACACGTAAATACGTAATGAACGACCTAGAGTCCCGATTGACCCTGCTTCCCTGTCTAGCCCAGCCAGTTGAGTCCAGAACGCAAGTCACAGCCTCTGAGATATGAATCATTATATTTCAAACACACTCTGTTTATATACTAATCAGGCAGACCACATCGTACCATAAAAATAGAAAACAATTACACAATATTAAACAAGTGAAGCAAATATCGACCAATAGGAAATGTACATTTAGCGTCCAAGGACAACATTAGACTTAACATGATAACTATTGGTATATTTTTCTGCACATCCTAACAATTACAAAATGAAGAGTCTTCTGACCATTCTAAGCAACAATGCAAGCATGTTCGGGATGCGATTCTCTCCCTCGAAATGCAAAATGTTACTTCAGGATTGGGTTGCATCGACACCCGAACTAATGATAGGGATTGAAGTAGTTGAATGTGTCGACCGCTACACTTATCTTGGAAGTCTCATCAGCCCTTGTGGTCTGGTGTGTGACGAAATCTCAGCACGAATACAGAAGGCCCGACTAGATTTTGCCGACTTGCGTCATTTATGGCGTCGGCGAGATATCTGTCTATCAACAAAAGAACGTGTTTACTGCGCAGCAGTTCGTTCCGTCATACTTTATGATGGTGAAACATTGCCAGTAATAATAGAGCATATTCGTAGGTTACTAGTATTTGATCATAGGTGTCTTCGAAACATTGCTCATATATCCTGGAACCATCGAGTAAGTAATGCAGTTGTTAGGAAACTGGTACTAAGTAAAGATGGCAAATCAATTGATGAAGTAGTGAAAGTTCATCAGTTGAGACGACTGGGACACGTGTTACGTATGCCCAACCACCGACTGCCTCGATGTGCGATGTTCAGTGGTATAGAAATAGGTTGGAAGAAAGCTAGGGGGTGCCAGACCAAAACATGGCACAAATTCATGAAGTCACTGACAAGTGGACTGAGCGATGTTGGTAGGTTTAGACTACCTGGTTGGGGACCGCGAGATGATAGCAGCCGTTGGTTAGAGACCCTGAATGACATGGCTCAAAATCGTTTGCAATGGCGCAGGTGCATCCACTCTTTGTGTTCTCCCAAATTCTAATCTTCTGAATTCTTCATGTCCCTTATTTTCTTCCCAAATTTATTTCACTGTATTATACTCTTTAAGTAACATCTCCAAACACTAATCTTCCCGATTACTGCTTATACTCTTATTACCTCTACCACTACGGGATTTGAATCGACCAATGCCTCTCTGTGCTAATGTGGTGTGGCAACTCGAACTGATGTACGTACGTACGTACTAAGTTCTACGTTGTTACTGACTGACTATAGTTCCCTCTGCCTAACCTCAACATTGCTCACTTGGTCGTTACACAAAACAATAACAATGCTTTGAAGACACCTATTATAAAAAAACTTCAGTGTAAGCATATCTTCAACTTTCATAGACCATTTCCACAGTCATAGAGTGTAAGAAAATGAGTTGATGCTCAGTATACACCCTCTGTGATTAAGAGACGGGCATCTCGCCTATGTCACAAGCGACGCAAGTCGATAAAAGCCAGCCAAGTTTTCTGACTCCATGGTGAGATTTCTTCAGACACTAATTCATCAGAGGTGATTAGACTTTCAGTATAAGTGAAGTGGTCAACGCACTCAAATGTTTCGCTTCCTATCATTAGTCCAGGAGTTGACATCAACCAGACTTGAAGTTAAATCTTTCATTCAGCGAGAAAGAAATTCATCCTAAACATGTTTGCATTGTCGCTTGAGATGATACAAAAAACCCTGCATTTTGTCAGTCTTCCATGAATAGTATTATACCATCTTCATATTTGAAGTCGATAACTGAACTTAAGTTTGTAAGACAAGGTATTTCATATCTCTGGTAGAATCCGACATTTTTGTATTGACGATTGTGACTGTTTGGTTTCCGGTTCAACTATGATGGACACTAACAACACTTGATTAACTCAACTATGAAGAGAGAGAGAAGAATGGTAGAAAGTTGAATTCCATAAAAACAGAGTATTGTACTTAAAACTCACGGGTATTTCTCAATGTTCAAACGGATCCAGATAATTAGATATAGCCTGTGACATTGGGTTAGTGAATAGTTCATTTATGATGGTGCACCCACAAATAGATCTGTTTTACAGTCTAGCCTTAAAATATCGTATCACTGGTTTTATTATAGTCTATAATAACTATAATTTAAATACGAGTGAAAACCTTTAACTATTTGTTATTGCTTATTTTATTGCAGCCCCTTTTTATCTGACCAAGAATTGAATAAACTTGGTAGAACAACACGAAAAATTCCTGTGTATCTTGGTATCTCTATTGGAATGATTGCAGGTGTAATGCGTGCGTTTGTATCATATGATGAATTCCTACGTGCCAATAAATATACTATATTTGTAAACAGTGAAACGGCTAGGGTCAGTTATGGGTAGATAAGTGTCTCTTATATTGATGATATAACCCTATTTTTTATGTAACTATTTTTTACGCTTATTCAATCCCTTATGGAGAGTACCATACCATTTTAAATATGTGATTTTTATTTTCTTTAGGTTACTACATATATGACTGAAGGTTTAGATAACTATCTGGCTTATCTTCCTACCATTAAGACTCAAGCCAATTGTATTCTCTTAAAAGTTTTCTCACCATAGTCTATTGCACAACTTAAGGTAAAAATTCTTGACGTATACTGTTAATTTAAACACAAAAAACATTCAAATATATAACTTATTTTTTCATCAACAATTATTTGTGTTTAGTTAAATTAATTGGAATAAATGTTTACTCATTTCGATCGACTTCAATTATACATGAAATAAATTAGTCCTTCAAGTTTGTCTAGTATCAATATTTCTTTTTTTCTTCCTCAGATAATTTAAAAAAAAAATCGGTAATGAAGTTCTTGTCTACGATCAAACTTAATTTATTCTTACACTCTGGATTTTAATTAACCACCTTTGATATTTATTTAACAAGCTGAATATAACTTTATATTAGAGTGTAATTCTATTTGTTACTCTAATATCATTGCTAACTATTTCTTTATCAATAATAATTTACGGAGTGTTGTTACAATGAAAAAGAACAAAGATTTTCCACTATTTTTGCATTAATTGTTTATGTCTTTCCATCTTTTTCTAGGACTGCAATTCATCAGACTCATATTGATATATGTGCATCCTGTACGGATTGACTCGATATTGCCTGAAGTCACAAGCGCATTCTAAGTAGAGATGGATGGTGTTCAGCAGTGTAATACAGGACGCGCGTTTCGTCCCATTTGGGACTCATCAGCATGATGTACCTTTATCCTAGGACGAAACGCGCGTCTTGGATCCCACTACTAGCCACCATTATCTCTGCTTATAAAGATTTCCCACTAGCTATGCTTATTTTCATTGAGGTATGAATAAACACATACTTTTACCTATCTTTGGTCGATGTCTAAACAAATACTTTAAAATGATAGCGAATTTTTTACTTATCACTTCTGAATACTGATCAATGAAAATATTCACCGTACATACATATAAGTTGATGTTCACAGTTCTTAAATCAGGCATAATTTTTCTTTATGATTACAATTTAAACTTCACCATTATTATAACTATTACGAAATAAAATTCTGCAAATGTCCATGATGAGTCTTTCTGTTTATCCTAATCTGTTATGGACATCTCAGAGTCGTCGTTTTTTTTCTAAATATTTTTTCTGAATATTTCAAGATAATTTAGAGTTTTTACACCATTGTTCAGTGCAGTAGCACAATGATTTATATCCATTGAGGCTTAGTCAATGATTTTATCATTTTATACTTTTTAACATAATGTTATTGTTTCATGTCTATTTCTATCAAATTTGATCATTACCTTACCACACACTTCCAAATGTATCGACATAAAATTATAAACTGGTTAAATAAGATATATACTGCTGTAAGACACGACAATAGTCAGAAGTGTGTGTTTACATTGCAATAAGTTACAAAGTACTTAAATAACACATATACATAGCCCTCAATAGTCTACTTGCAACTTTCCATGTCTTATTCTATGTAAACTGTTTAGTCGTCTGGTCTCCAAGTGTTCTGCCAACACCGTATTTTCGATCTACTGGAAGTTTTTACAGTCGCTGCAACTTCGACGCCACGTTCAACTACACACTACTTACAAACATCCTTGTTGGTAGCGTTCACTACAATAACACCAAATTTTCCATTGTATTTTTTAAAAGAAGATCATAATATATGGATACTAATACTTAAATTATCTAAATTATAATTTCATATGCAATAGTTTAACTAATTGAAAAATAAACAGAATAAATAAAAAATACTTTTGACACATTTTTGTTCAATTCTTTTTCAATTATTTCTTCTGTTTTAGCGTCATTCCTTAGATCATTGTATACTTAAAGGTGCCGTATTTGGAATTTCCACTGGTTGCAAAGTAACGATACTTACTGGTGGATTCTAGTATGTTCACGATTAATTCTTTTTACATATAGATTTGGCATATTTCAATATTTATTCGATATTCTTAACTAAAGAAAATACCTCTTTTTGAATATGAAGATTGCTTGTTGTATTTTAGATCAGCATGATTGTATTTGATCATTTTAACTACAATAACACATTTTAAGAAATCTTTTTACCCATAAGATCTTAAAAATATTGTAGTGGATTATTAAAGGGAAATTGAGGAAATAGTAAAATCTATGGTAGAATAAAATTTATTTTCGTTTAATTGTTTTGTTGGATTACATTTATTTATTTCAACTCATCATTTTTTCAACACTGTTAATCTCCGTCGTAACTTTAGTCAAAGGTCAAGTTTATAGTTCGTCTACGAGAGTCGTTTTCTGTGTTTACTTATTCCCTACTTTTAACCATCGTTATTCAGGAACGATTAGTCATGTTCGTCTGCAACATAGAGTGAGTAATCCTAAGGTCTGGGAATGTTTGTTTACATTTAACAGGGTTAGTAATTATCTGGTTGTCAATATATTGAAACGCTGTCTTCAGTGATTCCAACACGTTTCACAGATGTCTCAACAACTTCCAAATATGGCGCCAAAATATGTTTAACTTCTAACATTAAAATACAACTCTAGACTGCTTTAATTACTAAGCTGTCAGATTAAGCATCTCAATATTTATTTGGCGTAGTGCGAGTACTCAATATGGAAGTTATAAGTATATAAATTTTGTTGAGGATGTTAAATCTTCAAATATTATATTTCTGAAGAGATCCCTATGAAAATTCATGTATGATTTTTAAGTGAATTTCGGTCACTGGGTTTAGGTATGTTTGCACTTTTATCGATTTACTTAGTAGTTAGGTTAGTTAATCCATTTTAAGGTATTTTCGTTATATTCCTAAATTCACTGCCCTGGTACGACCGAGGGTGGAGAGAGATAGCTCTCACTTGGCCACGTGTATAGAGCTACTGCCAGGGGAATCCTACTCATTGTTTTTTCGCGGCGCGGGTGTTGTTTACGGAATTGAGAGGACGAAGAGCGGATGTTCGCGCTTTAGCCTGGTTGATGGATATAGAGGATTCACCTATGGAAGTTGGAAAACCCTGATTCCAAACCAATGGTGCACATGGGCTCCAGGATCCTTAGGGAACAAATGGCTTATGAACCAATTACTCCTCACCGGCTATCATGGGACTGCATATCCTGACGTTTGCTACTACCTTGTGGATCAGAACTTCAGGTCAAAAGCTCGAGGTGTGGTCCCCTAAGAAAACCACCTGCTTCGGTGTGGGCATCCGTGCAGTATCTCAGCCCTCATACAAATCTATGATAACTGCTACTGTCATTGTTATTGTTTGACGCATATTTATTTGGTGCCCCCTTTTATTAATGTTCATGTGTTCAACTAAATGTTTATGATTTTATGAACTTGAAAGTAATCCAATTTTTCTAGGATCTTCACCAGTGCATCTTTGCATGACTTCCCTCTCATCTATCGTTCTGAGGATAATTGTTAAAATGTTGTATATTAGTCATCCGGTCGATCCAGTTCGCATAGCTCTCACATCATATTAGAAGAATCTCCCAGGTGCCAGTGATTCGGAACTACCATATTTGATTTCAATTTCACAACACCCTTGTAAATTATTTTATTGTGAAGATTAAAACAGAATACGGTTAACTTAGTAATTTAGTTCTATTGTAGTATATAATTACACATTATGAACTCACTACTTACAACCTTTTTAGTAGTCAGAGTGATTAACAGTAGAAATCTACCACAACAGACCATAACGAATCGTGTGATTCGTATGCATATTATTCACCACAGATTAGTTTCATTATTCAGGAAAGTGAAATTTTTTGTTTAAAACAATCATATAGATAATCTTTAATATGTCGTTTTGCTAAACTGGTATTTTCTTTTATTCATCAAAGCACTCTACCGTTACTGTTCTCTGCAATTCAGGGGAAAACAAGTTACTGGGAACACGCTGTAGGTTGGGGTAAGCATTATTAAAATTCCTATGTATATTTACTTATAAGTTCCTCATGGCCTATTTTGCGAGATTCATTAGTGCTTAGGTTTCATCGGTCATCTTTTAGTTTGTTGATTTGCAGTCGTAACTCTTACCCAGAAAACGGGTTGTAAACCTGACTCTATCATTTATTCATGTTTGTTATTTTTTTATAGATGTTACATTTGTTAATCCAATTAATTGCGTTTATTAAATCAGTTATAGAAATAACCTTTTTCTAAGTTACTGATGATAACTAGGAATTTAATTTTGAGTCACCTATTGGCAAAATTTAAGTATATTTTATCACAGCGTTCTCGTTTGTTTGACTCACTATCGATATTGACCTTACATTATGTTATTCATCACCAAATTGTATTTCATTGTGGATGTTTGCATTAGTCTTGTCTCACTCAATGTGAAGTAGTGGTTAATTGTAGTTTATATGTTATTCCCCATTATTTCAGTAACGTTCATGTACATGGCTTAGGAAACTACCAACATCCTCAGGTTTCTTTTTGTTCTGTTTCTAGACCTGTGAGTTGTATCCATACACACAGAGAAATATGTACATTTACTTCCCCATTAATGAATCCTTATGCCATAACTGCTACCTTGACGCGGTGGTTGAGCTTCCCTATCCTGTTGAATCAGCCGAGCTATATTTGGCTGGGACACATGTTCCTCTAGGTCCTACCATACTACTTGGCAGGTCGGTCGGAGTATAGTGAACGAGAACATAGACGGAACAGCCGAATGTGTTTGAATACAAAATTTCAGAATCACTTAGTAGAATCTGTGAACCATACAGTAAATACTTCACTTGCGAAATATCAATCAGTTGTCTCAGACTTCATTGTTTCTTCGCTTCCACACCAATCACTCTCTGTCTCGTCCTCTTCTCTTCGATCTTCTTAACCTGCCTTCCGGCACTTCACTTTTGATTGGTGATACATACTACTTATATCTGTCGACACCAGTAGCACACACCACACGAGAACAATAAGACTAGAAGCAGCAACTTAAGGTCTGAGGGCGATGTAATAATGCTGACTGTAGAGGAATGTGGTAATAGTAAGGTGTTTTCCTCGCACAACCAGTATCTACAACTGTGCTGTCTTCTAACAGCAGAAGGAAGGGGTTAGAAAAGTATGACCTTAAAACTGTCAGACCTCACCTTACCCCATGAATTTCCGTCTCTGGCGTTCAGGCCTTTTAAAGTGCACGGCTAACGCATCAAAAAGGCCGTGAGCAACCGGGCTTAAGCAGTTGTCCCTTGGACTCTGTGGTCACGTTCCAATGTCGCTAAAACCACCAAAAGTTCAGCTACCTCTTCAGGTTCCTCAAGAAGGTATATCTGTCCACGGTGTGGACATCCGGTAAGTGACAATCGCCCTCATCTCTCTGTCAGCACCCGACATCATCTTTCTGACGATCAAATCCCTCTCTCACCTCTTAATAATTCTTCCATCCCTTTGGCTAACCAGTCTCGTATATCTTTATCACGATGCTCCACCAATGCATTTATTATTTTATTTAACGAAAAAGTATTAGTACAATGAAACATCAAATATATATGCGCCACACAAAATAATGAGAATGAGAAAAGAAAAAGATTGTAAGGGGCGTATAAGAAAAAAAAGAACAATAACGACCACAGATTAGTGTTAGGTAGTGTAGTAATAATAATAATAATGGGGGGAACGGAAAGGTACAACCACAAGAATTCTTTCCGTTAATGAAGATACAAACAATTTTTATGAAGAAAGTAAAAGAAGGTTACAGCAGGATCACTGGTTTCTATTCTGAGCCATATCTGATAACGTCTCTAGCCATTGTGTTGCATCATCTCTCAAACCCCAGCCAAGGAGTCGTGAAGGACCAACACAAGCCAGACCTTCTCAGTTTTCTTTCAAACCACGACACCATTTCATACACTGACCACCTCTCCGCTTCTTCCAACCAGTCCCAGAGTCGGCAAATAATGCACGACGTGGAATTCTCTGGGACGACATTCGGAGAACATGTCCAAGCCACCGAAGTCGGTATTTCAAGATGGTGACACCAATTGCATTATCATCTCTGTGCCCGAACACACGATGCCGAACCTCTGCATTACTGACATGGTGTTGCCACTGTATGTCGGCAATCCTTTGGAGACAGCGATGATCGAACACAGAGAGTCGTCTAACATCCTCAAATCGGAGAGGCCAGGTTTCACAAGCATAGAGCAAAACTGCTCTCACTGACACGTTGTAGATCCGACCTTTTACAGCCAGACTAACATCACGAAGTCGCCAAAGGTGGCCCAGATTGGCATAAGCCGCTCTGGCTTTCACTATACGTGCATTGATCTCATCACTCACACCCCCACCAGCACTTATGCAGCTACCCAGATACACGAACTTCTCGACTACGTCTATCTGCACACCATCCAGGGTGAGTACAGGATTGGGATCCTGCCAGTCTTGTAGAAGTACTTTGCACTTCGAAAGTGCAAAGCACATACCATACCTACGGACACTGATTGCCAACTGATCAAGTGCGGATTGCATGCAATGGGCATTATCCCAGAGTAAGACAATATCATCCGCATACTCAAGGTCGAGAAGTCTTTCTCCAGGCAACAGATCCACACCACCGTTACTTACACCCATCAGAGCTGTTTCCAGAATGTCATCGATGGCAAAGTTGAAGAGGAATGGTGAGATTTGGCAACCCTGTCTAACCCCACTGCTCGAATGAAACAATGGAGAGAGGTGGTTGTATGCCCTCACTCTGCCTGAGGTGTTTGTATATATGGCTTTTAGGATGTTAGTAAACTTCTCAGGCACACCCTTCTTCAATAGACAATCCCAGAGAACAGTCCTGTTCAACGAATCGAAGGCAGTCCTGATGTCAAGAAACACTACGATTGTTGGCCTGTAATGAGTATGGCGGTGTTCTAACATTTGGCGGAGTGTGAAGATATGACCAATACATCCTCGACCAGAACGGGACCCAGCCTGCTCCTCGCGAGTCAATCTTTCTCGGGTTTTGAACAACCTACGAATTATGAAGGAAGCCAATAGCTTGGACGCAATCGGAAGTAGACTTACCTCCCGACAGTTGTTACAGGAACGACGTGAACCTTTTTTAAAGATAGGGACAACTATCGACTCATTCCATGACGCTGGTACACTCTCTAGCTCCCAAACCTTTGTGAACAACATCGTCAGTTCCCTAGTCGGAAAGTCACCCACATCTTTAGAAAGAGCCGGAGGTAAGTCATCTGGGCCAGGTGATTTGTAGCGTTTCAAGAGTTGGAGTTCCTTGCGGACTTCCTCCTCCTTAGGTGGATCAGTCGTCACCGGCCATAGAGGGCAGGACAGTCTGACCGATGTTGCCGGAGCAGCAGGCCAGTTGAACTGCCCTTCGAAAAATTCTGCCCATCGTTCAAGACGTCGATGGATATTAGTGATTGGCATCCCATCATCCTCGCAGATTGTTTCACTCACACCAGACTTCTTGCTGCCAGTGGCTCGGATGAGTTGGAAGAGCTTCCGGTAGTTACCAGATGCAGCTGCTGTTTCCAGCTCATTAGCACGCTTCGACCACCAGGCTCCTCGGTCCTTACTCAAGCTTTGCTCAATTTCATTACGTAACATCCTTCGTTTATGGTCAAACTCACGGTCACCCGGAGTAGACCGACGGGCTTCAATGAGTTGTAAGGAACCAGAAGAAACCCAGTGCTTATAAGCGGGACGTTTCGAGAACCCACAACTGACTGTACCCGCCATTTTCATGGCGTCATGCAATTGCAACCAATGCTCATCTATACTTTTCGGTGGAGTGGTAGCTAGCCTAGAAGGTAGCTCGGTTCGATACTTACTTGCAACAGAAGTTGCAACCAACTTGCTAATATCAATCCGTTGGTGGCGGTCAATTCGTTGGCCACTGAAAAGTAAGGTAAGATTGGCGCAGACCAAGGCATAGTCAGAGTCCAGATAGGTACTCCAAAAGGAGCGGCAGTCTTGTACACAACTACGCCAGCGGTAGCTAGTCGCGATGTGATCAATCTGAGTCCAGACTTGAGATGCAGAGGGAGGACGCCAAGTGGCAAATCGGCGATGACTGTGCCGAAAGTTAGTGCTAGCCAGAAACAGGTTGTGCATAGTTGCAGTAGACGGTCCCCGTTATCGGTCCTGCGACCAACGAGTCCCCATTGGCCACCTAGACAACTCTCTTCTGTGCCTAGACGCCCGACCTGAGCATTCAAGTTTCCGGCTAGTACTACAATATCTGTCGAACTCACTTTCTGGAGAAGAACAGATAACTGGTGGTAAAACGCATCCTGTTTCGCATATCTTTATCACGACGCTTCACCAGTGCTGATGATCTGAGTCCACGAAATATTGTCCCTGGTCTCTTGAGACCATTTTAGACATTTTAATGTTTGAACATTGTGTTAAATAGGAAAATAGGCTTATTTAGCTAGGACTCTAGAATCTCGCGCTCTCGATATTTGCTACATCTACTAAACGCGCATACAGGATCCAAGTAGTCATTCACTTGACCTGACCTTTTTGATATAAAGAGCGCGCACGATTCACCCTTCGAGTACATGGAGACCTCATCGTTACTTCCCGTGGCCTCTCTGGTATATGTATATTATTAAGTTTTGAAGCGAAATAACGATCATTCTCTAGTTCAAGGACGTATTTGTTTGAATCTTACTGGACGTAGAAAAGCGACATCAAGTAAACCCTTTAGAGTTCAACTTAATAACGAAAAAGTTAAAAATATATTTCAGTAACAACTAGTAGAGTTAATTAGCGGTGAAAGTGATATCCACCCCAACGTAGCTTGACATGGTATCCAAGAGGCTGTGGAAACAGCAGTGATACCTACCAGTAACGTCAGTCAAAAGGTCAAGGGAATTTGGTGGATTTCAACAGCGTCTATAAAACTGATAAATGTTCACGTCAGGGGACAGTTCAACTAACTTTCAACCACACTTCAATTACCCATTATTTCCAAGCAACCTGAATGCCAAACTGATGTAAGTCCTGCGAATCTTGGTGGAGTTGGAAAGGCTATAAGCAATCTAGAACGAGGAAGAGCACCAGGGCCTGATGGACTAATCCTTGAAAATTTCAAGTATGGCGGTTCAGCATTTTTCAGTTAGGTTAGCTGAAATCTTGTCTAAAATCTGAAAACGAGATGTAATCCGATCTGACTCAAAACTGCTCGTACTGGTTAACGCGCTATTGGGTTGGTACAGTGCCAAGGTCATATAAGTCGTGTTCTAATTGGCTATTTAGTCACGTGACAATTAACAGAGCAAAAATCATAACACTTCTACCGGGAGATTCACTTACTTACTGATTAGAGTTCGCTGGTGATATATTTCTGTTTGTTAAAGATTAACAAGATGCTGCCCCCAAATGCCCTGGTACGGCCGAGAGTGGGGAGAGTCCGCTCTCCCTCTCGAAATACTCTCACACGGCCACGCGTATATAGCCTCTGCCAGGGAAGTCCTACTCACTGCCTTCTCGTGGCGGGGGTGTTGTTTACGAAAATGAGAGGACGAAAAGCGAATGTCCGGCGCTTTAACCGGATTCCAAACCAATGGTGCACATGGGCTCCAGTATCCTGCGGGAACAAATGGCGAATGAACCAATTGTTGGTCACCGGCTTCCATGGGACTGCATCTCCTCACGATGCTCCACTGCCTTGTGGATCAGACCTTCAGGTCGAAGGCTCGGGGTGTGGCCTCCTAAGAAAACCACCTGCTTCGGTTTGGGCACCCGGGCAGTATCACAGCCCTCACACATATCGAATGAGATTTGTGTGGCGCATATGTATTTGGTGCCTCTTTGTACCATTATCTATGTGTTGAAATAAATAATGTATTTGGTGCCTCTTTGTCTTCTGATCACCTTGAACAACAATGGAAGCTTATTTGAAATGCAGTTCTCTCCTTCCAAATCTAAAATATCACTTCACGATCGACTTGCTTCAATGCCTGAATTGACGACACGGTATAAAGTAGTTGAACACATAGACTGCTTCTCTTATTTTTGGAGTTTCGTCAGTCCTGATGGTCTGGTGTCTGACGAAATTTCGGCACGGGTTCAGAAGGCTCGATTGGCTTTTAACAACTTGCGTCACTTATAGCGATGATGAGATCTCCGTTTTACAACCAAAAGACAAGTTTAATGCTCAACAGTTCGCTCCGTTCTACTTTATGGACGTGAAACATCGCCACTTAGAATGGAGGATATTCGTAGGTTACTGGTATACAATCATAGATGTCTTAGAAACATTGCTTGTGTACTTTGGAACCACGAATTAAGCAATGAGTTGGTTAGGAATAGGGTGCTAAATAAAGATGGGAAGTCGATTGATGAGATAGTCAATTTCGATCAACTTAGATAGTTGGGACACTTGTCACGTATGCCCAACTTCCATCATACCTCGAAGGGCTGTGTTTTCTTGTTCAGGAGTAAGCTGGAATAAAGCTGGTAGTGGTAAAACCAAAGCATGACATCAGTCCACGAAGTCGCCGAAAAATTGACTTGATCATGTCATTAAGTACCGACTACCTAGTTAGGGTCCGCTTGATTATCGTAAACAATGGTTAGAGACTTTGAGTAAGATGGTTCCAAATCGATCGCAATGGTGCAGAAGTCCATTCATTTTTTTCCTATAAAGACTGAGTCTCGAAATCTCACTATACGTGTTTTTCCTTTTATTGTATCTAGTCTTTACTACTTCAGACAGTTGCTATCCCGGGATTTTTCTTAAAATAACTTAGTCCGGCTTGGATCGACGTATATACGTGTCAGGTTCTACGTTGCATATGACTGACTGACGCTCCAACTGATGTAAACAAACTTCTGATCACATAGTTTATTACTTTAAATCAATTGGTGATTTAGGCATATTGTGTTTAATGTATTGTGTTATTTTACAATTATTTTCAATTTGGCATTCTGTTTTTTTTTTCTTACCTATGAATTTCTCATTTTATATAGGAATTACAGGTTCATTGTATTGCTTTAATCGTGGATTTAAACGAATGCTTATAGCAGGAATGATTGCTTCTGTACCTGGTCTAATTACAGGTGTTTTATCCATGTTAGCATCTCGTGCATCAAATTCAACATTTGAAGAATTATACGCAAAATATTTAAATGAAACTCAAAAAATCTAATTGTTAGCATTTTGTATTTGTTTCTTTTTACATAAAATTATTCTCTAATGTATTTTATAGTTTGAACTAATTATTTTCTAATCACTTAAACATTTCACTTGTATCTATCTTATTAAATCATGTTATTACTATTTAGATAGTATTAAATGTACTGTGGTTTGTGTGTTTCTTTTGAAAACAATTTATTGTGGTAATTATAGTAAGCACACTCGGCGAAATTACTGTTTCATTGAGGAAGTTGTTTGTGACATAAACATCTAGTTAGTCCTAGTAGTCTGTCTCTAAGGTCTTCAGTTTTCACCATCTCTTGTATTGACTGTTATATATCCCATTATTTCGCATCATACAGTTTTGTGAATTACAGTATCTTCTTAGCCTTATCTCTCTTTTAAAATCGCTTTCGACATATGGTGTGTTTAGATATGCATGAACCATATTATCTATGTGATGAAGCCCAACCTTTTTTCAGTTATACTCTTTATTATCATATAGTTCTCTGCTGCTGCTGTTTCGTGCGAAATTACATAGTGGCTTGGTAAAATATGAAAACCGTACATTAAATACATTATTTGCAAGTCTTCCTTCAGTTGTTTTTTACATACTTTATGATCCTTTCAACCCTATTGTTATTGCGATTTCTCCCTATTTCTCTCTCTGTTCTCTTCAATCCAATGTTCTTTTGGAAGGCATTCCACTTCAGATTGCTGCTACATACTACTTATATCTGTCAGCATAAGTAGCATACACCACTATACTTTTTAAGACGCTCGGTAATTAGATTTGCAATGGTTGGTTATAAATAATACAGTGAATGCGCTTCTATACGCTGCTGACAGATATAGTTGACCTCAAAAATTAAAAATATGAACATTTCTGACAATAATTTCGAGTCTGGTAAAATAGTTTCCTTCGAGTTAAAACAGATGGCAGTGAAATCTGTGATACCAAATGTTTCTATTTGTCCGCAGGTATAGTACTATAATGGAAATCGAGAGGAACACGACAAATTTTTTTCAAACTTTGAATCAGCCGATATTACGGCTTTGTCGTACCACTAAAAGTACGATAGTTTAAAAACCATTCCTGTCAAGTAAGTAGATAATGTCGAAATTACAACGAATACCATGAGTTTGAAAGTAACATACCTTTATATCAAGCCTAAATACAAAAAACTTACTGACAATGAGCTCGATACCATATTCCAGAATTCAAACAGTCCATTCGGGAAAGTAAATATCGCGTACGATAATAGCAAATGTAAAATTAGGTGAGGAATGCTGTCCTTAGTAGAACGAAAATTAAAGTTAGATCATGAATAAGTAAATAGGTGTTTCGTTTCACGAAGTATGTTTTTTGTTGGTGAGAAATTGTGTTTAGATCAGTTTAATTTGTAGTTGATATCGGTCACGAACTGAGATAAGTTGGGGTTCCATTACAACCAAAGGTATAGTGGTAAGATGTTTCGTTCTGTTATGCAATCTTTCACAAGTGGACATTCACAAACTTCTAAACAAGAAAGAGAAATCTACTTAACTTGTACATTTCGGGATTTGGAGACTACCCTGTACTGTAACTAGATTCGAACAAGTGACCTGCGTATTATTGACTCAATCTTGAATAAGTTATGTGACTTTATAACAGTAGTTATACATATAAATGTTCTTTTATGACGTAAAGCCTTGATAACTTGTAACGATTGTCACAACAGTTGGTTTGTTACTCGTTCCATTTAATTCAACGATTTAAAATTCAGTTGAAAGATATAGCTAGGTAATGAGTTACATGATAACTGAAATATTACATATTAATTTTAGAAAAAAAAACCTAATACAGTAACTAGTATCAAACTAAAGTTTGGCCACTTTGTGTTACGTACGTTAGTTAGTCAACTGCTAGTTTGACAATGGTTGTGTTCCAGCGAAGATTCGATTTTCTTTAAGAGACAATATTTCTGGTTGTGAAATACACTGACTAACTATTTTTTTAAATTCAAAACTATACCACCTAACAATAGTAAGTATTCTAAATATATACATTCATTTCTATGACAAGTATATCATGGAGACTTGCAATCATTTGTGTATGATATTGGTCATAAATTGACATTAAATAGGGTGCGTTTGTGAAACACAAAACACCTGGTATTTTCAGCTATCTGCATCCATAACGTTGCTACTGATTAAATTTATGACTATTAGGTCTCATCACCAAACAGAAAGTGATGCAGCGATTCATATTGAAATTGGTTAATTGGACTATCGCAGATTTTAAAAAATTAACAGAAAACCATTTTTAACGTAGGTAAATTAATGATAAATTAAAATATTGGGTGTTCATGCTGCCAGTAATTGCTAACTGTTTCCGTGAAAATCCACTATCTATTATTTTGATAAGACTCAAAGAAGCTGCTTTCTTTAGTGATTGTTTACTTGAAACAACCTACTAGCATAATCACCATCAATCAAATTAACGCGATCACAATATTAAGGACATTTAGTTGCAAATCCCTTTGAACCAATTTGAAAATTCGAATTCAAACCCTTCACATTAACCTTGAAATGTAGATTTATGAATCCATATGTATGTAGCATTTGTTATGAAATGAAGCTCTTAAATGATGAATTCAGAGAAAAAGATAAAACCAGAATAAATTGACAACGAGATTGATCATTATTTGTTGTTGAATAATTTAAATACCAGTTTTATAAATAGTATTTTATTTCTTCGTAATGGTAACAATATAATTTCTAAAGTTTCGTCAAAATCCTTTGAGATATATCAACTTGATTTCCGAGAATATAGTAAAATAACATTGTTATGTTCCATGGTGATCATCCGCCTAACTTAAGCATGATTTAGTTACCTGCAAATTGTGTCATTCGCCGAAATTCAAGTTTACAAATAAATAATATCAAAATGGGTTTTGTGGAGATTTTAAGAAATTTCACAGGTTGAAATCATGAGTCAATTGAAGCTAGACCACCATGGAAACCTGGAAGCACTGGATGGTCGTTTCGTCCTAGTATGGGACTCCTCAGCAGTGCGCATCCACGATCCCGCCCCTCGTGGGACTCGAACCCACGACCTACTGGCTCTGCACGCGAGCACTTAACTATTAAATCACTGAGCCGGCATCGCAGGGGGGCGTGGTCGTGGATGCACATCGCTGAGGAGTCCCATACTAAAACGAAACGGCCATCCAGTGCTTCCAGGTTTTCCATGGCGATCTAGCTTCAATTGACTCATGATTTCAACCTGTGAAATAAATAATAATCAAGGAAGATATATATTTAATGTATGTGCTCAGACATATTTAAAAGGTGGGAAGGTCAAAGGTTATATTGCGATTGAATATATAAACATTATAGTGTTCATTTCAAGTGCTCTTATGAATTTTCAATAGAGACATTTCGTGAACAACTTGTCATCTAAAAATCGATTCAATTATTACAATTTTTGAGCAATTACAATATCCAAACGAACTTTTCTCAAAAAAGTTAGTAGTATTTTAAATAACTTCAAAAAAGTTAGATTAAATGTGACTAACTATATTGAAAATCAATTACGGTAAGTGATGCACCTGTCCTAAGTTCCTATGATTATGAACAACACATGATTGACACAAACATCTTTGACACAATATAAACTAACCTGTTAGTTTAACAATTAGATTAAGGGTATTGAGAATACAATTGTTTGATTACATAAAATATCAATACCGAATGAAATAAACTTTCATTGGCATACAGCAGAAAAATTCCAATCTGGTTAACTTTTTGGAAAGTATTAAATCATCAGATAAATATGATGAAAAAAAGGCGATAAGTTGTTTTTCTAATTTTAGGACAATAAAAAACTGTCCCAAGATTAAGTAAATATCATTTTCAACTGATATGGAATGTATCATTTTATCAAATTATGTCAATACTTAATCAGTATTCACAAAAACTATAAGCGTTCATAGGATATAAATCGCTTCATACATTAAGATATATTGCAAGAATGACAGTTATTTTTTGTATTGCATTATTCAAAGCTATAACTATTCATTTCGTTTGAGTCTGGTCAATTGGATTGTTATAGTAATATAGATTGATCGAAAGATGATCTACCAAAAACTCAGAGAGGTTTTTACTCATTGATGAATATCAATAGAGAAAATAATGAATAACAACATATCATCCTTTCTGACAATTAAAGAGTAATGTACATAGAAGATATTATATTGAAATAACTTTACGATATTGTAATTTTGTCATGAAGTTTCATTTTTCAATAGTTTTATTTATGACAAACTATCAAAGTGAGAATCTTCAATACCAACGTCAAGGCAGTTCTACTGTATGGAGCTGGAACTTGGAGAACTACAACAACCACAATCAAGAAAGTACAAGTATTTATAAATAGCTGTCTACACAAGATACTCAACATCCATTGGCCGGATACCATCAGCAATAGCCTTCTGTGGGAGAGAACAAACCAACTTCCAGATGAAGAGGAAATGAAGAAAAGACGATGAAAATGGATAGGACATATATTACGCAAATCATCAAACTGCATCACGAGGCAAGTGCTAACTTGGAATCCTGAAGGGAAGCGAAAACGAGGAAGGCCAAAGAACACATTGCGTCGGATAATAGAAGCAGATATGAAAACGATGAATTACAACTGGACGGAGCTAGAAAGGATTGCCCAGGACAGGGTTGGATGTAGAATGCTGGTGAGCGGCCTATGCTCCTTCACGAGGAGTAACAGGCGTAAGTAAGTAAAATGACAAACTATCCCATCTACTCTCTTGACTAATCAGCTGATTTTGTTGCATATCATCATATACTATAAATATTGGTTAACTTTCATTATCACGTTCTTTTTTCGAAGCATAATATAGATTTAACCAGAAATGTATTTTTAATTTTCCCTGATTGAATAATATTAGAGATACGAAGCAAATTTTCATCACGAGCTGTGATTTGCTGAGAAACTATTAAAAACTAAGGTGCTCTGGATAATTGTTTCTACTCAGTTCTGTATGTCGTAAATGTGTTCAAATATGACCTTACTATATAGAGCGAAATTTCAAACTAGGATGAAATAACTATCGACTGCTTCTTGGTTTTCGGTAGTCGAAGCCATTTAGTATTTTATCCATTTCAAACAATCTTCATAAACCTTTCATTCTATAATCCATTTAGCCGTACATACATATATACTTTTTGAACAACGGCAAACTAGAAAAAAACGCTAAGTGTAAATCAGTAATAGTTAGATATTTTATAAAATTTATGACTATTGATCCAATATATTAGTCTTTAGTGTTAACCGAATCCTATCAGTCAGTTTATAATTTAACTGCTAAAGTGAATACTTGACATTATTAAGCAAAATAATCGCTACGTTTGGTTGGAATCTGATCAAACTGAGTTATATGTCTAATAACTTATTAATTCGTAATACTTTTAAATAAAGCCGTGAATAATATAGGTGCTATTATATATGCGACCATATTGTACAATGAAGAAATAGGGCTTTTGTAAATGCCAACCATTACTTCCAGAGCTTGTTGCTTATAGTTTTCAGTCAT